TAATATATTGGTCATTCTTTTCCCCATGTCTGTAAGACTCTACTAATTTCAGTCTTCCCATAGCTGCCTAACCAGAGTCTTTCATTTCACAAGCATATTGTCAACACACTATCACACACACCATTTTTCCCCTAAAGCCTATTGTCAGCACACTTACTATTGTCCACACCATTTGTTTCCCTAAAGCCCCTAAACCAAGATGAACCCAACTCTTGTGCCTACTTCCCTGCTTTACTAAACACCACTAAACAAAAACCACACAATCATCCATACTGATGCTCCTACAATATATCATCTTTCTCTTGAATTGGGCTTTAAACCCCATAGCAATTCTTTAACATAGTTCTGGTGAACTATGTATTTTCTTCTTTTCAGTAGCTATCCCAAATCTTTATCGGTTTGGTTGAAGGCATGATATGGTTAGGCTTTGTGTTCTCACCCAAAACCCATCTTGAATTATAATCTCCATGTGAGGAAGAAACCTCATTGGAGGTGATTGGATAATAGAGATGGATTCCCTTATGCTGTTCTCATGATAGTGAGGTTCACTCTCATGAGATCTGCTGGTTTCATAAGTGTTTGGCAAATTCCTCCTTCACTCAATCTCTCTCTTACCACCTTGTAAAGAAGGTGCCTGCCTCCCCTTCCACCTTGTCTGTAAGTTTCCTGAGTCGTCCTCAGCCATGCAGAACTGTGAGTCAATTAACAGGTAATCATAGCAGTATGAAATGGACTAATACAAGGCCCAATTAATTTTCTCAGCACATAAGGTAAAATTCATCACATAGAAGCTACTTTACATAAATGTCCATGTCTACATCTCTAGTCAAATACCTATACCTGTATCCACAACTATGCTCATACTTTCTAATTCCCTCTTATCCCAGAAAAAATAAATACTTCTCTACAAAGCTAATGGATTTATCCTATATTCCCCAAGATTTTTTCCCTTTAATTTTATCTCTTTCATCCTTATCAACCTTTCTTCCTCCATTTTTCTTTCTTCTCAATGTCTTCATGACTGTTCCACATTAAAACAAAAGTCCTCACCAAATTTATATCAATCCCTAAAACAACCTCTTATTCCCCTTACTGTTTGTTGGAAAAACTCACAAAATAATAATTTAGGCTCTCCACTTTTCACACTTTCATTTATTATTTAACCTCCCTGTTCTGCCTGATTGCCCCATCTTCCTATTGACATTGACCTTGCTAAGGAGCTTATCTTTCATTTTGTTGCATCTTTCATGGAATTATGGGCATGACTTTGGAGTTAGACTATTCTCACTACTTACCAGCTACGTGTCCTATGTGACTGTAGTTCTCTCCCCATGTAAAGGAAAGATGGTAATAATATATACTTCATAATGTAGTTGTAAGAATTACATGACAAAATATATTATAAAGTGCTTTACAACATAGTGCCTGGTGGTGCAGTAAATGGTAGATAGTATGATGTTAATTCATGTGTAACATAGTTGTTACTGTTATAATTACTATTACTATCTTAACTATTCCTTAGCTAATTTTTCCCAGATGAATACTTTATTGTATTTGTTAAAATGTAGATTCTTGGTTCTCATCACAAGTATCACAAATTAAAATCTTTTGAGTAGATCTCAGTAACATGTATTTGAAGAAGTTCCTTGAGTGATTCTTTTGCATTCTGAAGTTGGAGTTCGATGGATTTATCTCCATTTGTTGATAAGGACCTTGGAATCAGATGGGCCTAAGATCAAACTTAGAGATAAAACCTTGAGTAAATTACTTCTTTCTTATTAGGTTGATGCAAAAGCAATTGAGGTTTTTGCAACTTCTTTTTTAAGTAATGGGAAAAACCACAATTACTTATGCATCAACCTAAAAGTTTAGTTTTCATGTCTACAAGAATAGCTTAGTACCATCAACTACATAGGGTTATCAAGAAGATAAAATTAGGTGATATTTATAAAGTATCTAGTAAAAGGTATTTTATGTAGGCCGTTCTGCAAATATTTACCATACTTTGCATTTTCATCTTCAGGCATAAGGTAAAAACAATACTAATGCACTATAGAAAGCAAATTCTATCACACCAGTTTACCTAACCCTACGATGTATCCGTGTAAATCTTCTCCAAAGATACAGCTTTCGTTGCCTTAGTTACTGAGTTGTCTAGTAAGTATGACAGTAAATTAGAAGTCAATGGACCAGGAAAAAACTATAAAACATGGCAGTAACTTAAAACGAATAGACCAGAAAAAAATGGAATGAAGTTAGAGTGTCACATAATATAAAATTCATTTAAGGAGAACATTTTGGCAGACAGGTTTCATCTAACAATGAATGCTGTTCATGGATGCATTGAAAATTTACAGTATGATTAGCATTATGCTTTCTCATATGGGAAATTCACAGGAAGTTCCAAATGTGACCTCTGCCCACAACAACATGATATTTAATGGAGTTATACAAACAAAAACACATGAAAACTTAGGATACAAATTTAAACCATATTTTTATTGAATTAAAATATAATCAACACCATGTGTAAGATTCTGTTATTAGCTAGAGGTGATTCAGAGGAATGCAAAGATCGTTAAATATTTAGAAACAAACTGTCAAGAATGATGTCTATACAGCTAATATAAGAGGTAACCCATGGAGAAGGAGGAAAGGAATTACAGAAAATAGGTCACTATGGAACTAGCATCCCCTTTCAAGATTTTTATTAGAATTTCTGTAGTAAAGCCCTTTAAATTATCTCCTAGTTTTATTTCATTGTTCTAGGGTGTGTGTATGATTAAATTGTATGATTAAGTACTAAATTAAGAACCTAAATTTCTCCTCCCTGTGATGAAAGAAAAAAAAAAAAACATTGTGGAAGTCTAGAGGAGTGTTCCATGGTGAATTTGGGAGAAGAAAATGAAGACATTTGTGTTTGGGGCAGTCTTCACGGAAAGAAATGTATAAGTTAGATTTGAAAGGAAGAGACTTTAAAACTAGGTGGCTATTATTACAGTAATAAAGTGTAGAATGTGACCTTAAGTCAGGCGTGTATAGCTGAAACAAAGACAGTATTGCCCTCAAGCAAAGGAAACATCAGCAGAGGAACACGGTTAAGAATGTATATGGCGTGCCCATGGAATAATGAAAAGCTAGTAGGGCTTCAGTAGCTACCCAAAGTCATGTTAGGCAGAGAGGATGTGGATGGACCTTGGAGAGACTAAGAAGCTTGGCAAGGGGTGAAGATTTTGTTCTATTGAAGTAGGATATATGTTTTTAATGGTCAAAAACCAATGGACAATAAATAGGATCCTATTAGTCATATTGATTCATTCAATACTAGCCACTGGCAATTAACATAATCAAAGAAAAATGCTAGGCATTGCAGGAAATACAATTGAATAAGACATAGTACACTGCTCTCAACACCATTCAAAAATTAGGGAATAAGATAATACCAAAAACAGTTATACTCACAGTGGAATATAAATGCTAGAAGGTAAATACATGATAATACTATGAAAGGAAGTAGGTAGCCTACGAATGGTGGTAACTCATGATATTTAGCTGGGACCTTGAAGGATAGGTGTTATGAAGGTAAAGATACAAAGAGAGGACTTCTGAGAGAAAAACAGTACAACCAAAGGCTGTTCATTTCAACAAATATTGTGTGCTTACTGTGTGCCAGTTCCTGGAGTTTATACTGGGATATAAAGACTTATCACAGTCTCTGCACTTAAGCGCTTAACACAGAAAAGCAGAGTGTGAGTTCTCAGGAATGCTTGGATAGTTCCATTCAGCTAGAGTGTGTATATATGAGGAGGTAATGGAATGAAGCTGCAAACATAAACCGAACCAATATTAATGAGAGTCTTAAATGTCAGGCCGATACATACTCAATTCTACTGCATATGGAGATGACTGAAGTCTGTTGTTACAGTTTTTATCAGGAGAAAGCAATGAAGACAGTTGTGTTTGGGGCAGTCTTGGCTGGATGAAATGTATAGGATAGATTTGAAAAGAAGAGACTTTTAAACTAGGTGGCAATTATTACAGTAATAAAGTATGGAATGATAATAGCCCGGGATAGCTGGTGACACTAGAGTAATTGTAAAAGCTCATACATTTCAAGAATATGTTAACGCTTTAATCATTTGCTAAGGGGTTATGCAAATCTTCTCACTTATTCCTCCCAGTATCTCTAAGAGAAGGGTGCTGTAATTATTCCCCATGACAGAGGAGTAAACTGAGCACAAAGACATTTTATAAACTTCCCCCTGTTTTACAACTAGTAAATGATGAAACTAGATTCAAGCATAGGCTTCCTCCAGATACAGCTTTTTTAACCACTGGCTGTAGAGTCAATACAGCTATGAATTTTGAACTCACATGGCTAAGTGAAAAATATAGCCCAATTAACAAATACAAGGACATTTAAATACTTTTTTCACTTAAAAACTTTATCAGCTAAACAAATTATATCATTCTTTTTCTAAATTACCCTCACTGAAAGGTTTAGTGATTTTCAAATTCAATAATAGAACTTTAACAGCAGAATGTATCTCAGATAGTATCTCAAACCTCAGAACTTTAAAGAGGCCATGGAGACCAAAACTAAGGTAACTGCCCAAAGTAAAAGAGCTAGCTAGGGGTTGAACTCACATTAAAAGCCATACCTCCTGTTTTCTGGTCACTATACTACAGCACTCTGATTTTATCACATCATATTTCTATTACACCTTTTGTAGTGAGCATAGAAGATCACAATACTGAGTCATAAAGGGAGAGATTTTTACTTATAAATTACAGAAAGATGTGTGAATGGTTACATATCTACTCACTCAAAAAAATCACAACAGTAAGTGTATTAACAATTATGCCCATTATCCATTTTAGCAGTTTTGACACATGAATTCATCTTCCACAGTGGATTTTTGAATAATGATGTCAAATTGTCTGCTTCCATATTGTAACAAATCCTTGCTAAGAAGACAGATCTGTGTACTACTTGTTACCTTGCAGTGATGATATCAGGGTGTTTTTTAGAGGGAGGAGAAGGGTCCACCAGAGCAGGTCATACATTGTTGTCTGACATGTCCATCTTTCCAGGAGAACTTCAACCTATCTCCTTTGATCATTACCAGGTGGTTTTCCCTTGCAGCACCAGAGTCCATCACTGGTAATAAAAGCATAACCAGACCAATTTGCTCTCATTTGTTTTATGAATCATTGCCAGACTCAGAAATAAAGAACAAAAGGAAGCATATTCTTTTTTGTGTCTTTTCAAATTGAATGGCCCTTAATGAAATATCTTCATAACATTATGTAAGAAAATGTCCTACATTGATGTGGGGCCAAAATAACTTACAGAACTCTATGGCTTCAAAGCTAATGGAATGTGCCAGGAGGACCACAATACAAACAGAATGAACACACTAAAAGGCTCAGAAAGCAATTGTTTTTCTGTCAGGAACAGGAGAAATCCAAATAACTGAGAATAATTTCTCACTTATTTCCCCATAATCCTACCTAGCCACAAGATAAAACAAAAATAAAAAGAGTTCAGAAGTAAGAATAAAATATATCAGCCAGTGAGGTTGGAAAGCGAAGCTTGATTCATTTCGAATTCATTGTCCTAATGGATAAGCAATTGATTGATGATTAATGCATAAATAGCAGTTAATATCACTGGTTTGAGGAGGACAGAGAAAGATAAAAGAAACCAACATGGAAGTGGGGTAGAATGAAGAAAAGAAGAAAAGCAAATAAAAAATTTTAAAAAGCCAAAGAAGGGGTAAAGAAAATGAAAGAAATTAAGCTGACAGGAGGAAACATATGAAATGCAGCTGTGGTGCTCATTTGTTCTTCTTTTAAAATGTAAATTACTTCTGATTTTGAAGTCAGGGTCTGGATATTTTCCCGTGGAAATATAGCCATATACCCTCTAAATAGTCTCTCTTCCCCAAAAAAGAGAAAATTGGGAAAAAATAACGTAGTTTTACTGTAAGCAATACAAAAAATAGTTCTATAAACCTCAGGGCAATTCAGTGTAAGTTGTCTGCAATAGACAACAGCCTCAAAACCCTCCAAATTTCCTAGCGTGAGGTAGGCACAAAGCCGGAGACTTGGTTGCCTGGCAACCGCGCTCTTCACAGGCAGCTGGAGTAAAACGAACCGTCTGGTGCCAAATGGCCTTTCACCTGCTTCGTTAAAGGGAAATCAGAGAGAAAGAGTTACCTTGCAAGGGCCAAAGCTTCCCGTGAGAAACAGAGGCTTGAGAAACACTCCTCTAGCTTCACTTTGGAAAGGCACTCCAAGCAGGGTGGGAGGTTTCTAATGCCTCAGTAATTAAGGATGCTTTTTCCTCCCTTCCCCCTCCTATGGGTGCCACCCTGAAAATAACAGGCTGCAGCCTTGGTATTCTGACGTTATATAGAGGGGAAAAGAAATCAATTTACATCTTTTGCTCCAAATTGATAAATTCTGAAAACTAGGCACATTGCTTACATCTCCCCATTATTTTTAATTAGGTTTGCTTTCTGATAATACAAGGACTAATAAAGTGTATTCACGACGAAAAAGAATTAGAAAAGGATGATTATGAAAATAGTCTGTTTTTACATAAGCACCTGGGAATTGAAGTTATTCTGGAAATTTTACCTGGCTATTTTAGTTGAAATGTGAACAGTACCTAGGAGGGATTTAGTATAAAAATTGGTGAGGGCTTTCCAAAAGAATTTGTACAACCCACTTCTAAAATGCAAAGTATTGCAATATACATCTTTGTGTAAATTTTAGCCTTCGCTATAAAATACACAGTTTTTAAATGGATGCTTAATGAGTAATTCCCAATTAGTCTGGCTCTTTCAAGATCAAACAGTAAAATGTGAGTGGAAATTGGGCAGATAGCTGCATAGCAGTCAGAAACAAAGCACTGTAGTCAGCATTTACAGTGGCAGATTCAGTCTTTGCACTGTCACTCAGCACAGCATTAAAATTTGAGTTCTAATTTGGGTGACATAGATCTAACACATTTAGTGTTCATTTAGAATTTTCCTTCAGCTAAGACTCTAAATATAAAACAAAATAGTGTATAATGTTCAAACTTTTCAGGTTATACAAACTATATAAATTTATTTCAGTTGTATTCACTACCAGCAAGTACGATTATTTTTATACCTTTCTATAGGACTTCGTTGACCTCATTCTTTTAGTCTGTTGAATTTTACTGAAATATAAATAATGGATATAAATAATGGATATACATATATACACACCACATATTTTATTCATCTCCTCACTCCACCTCCCAAGTTGAGGAGTAAATATGTTTTTCATTCTCCACATGACTTCTTCAAGGCAGTCTTCTGTGATTGTTAGTGACTATACAATTATCCGGTGTTTTTACAACTGTCTATTACTGAATAGGATTTTTTGGTAAGTCATTTACAAAATTATACTGGAAGATAATTTATTTTATTTTATTTTAAAAGCCTGGAACCATAACTCCCTTGGGGAAAAGAAATTTAAGATAGAAGGTGAGTCCCTGAGGCTATAGGTTAGCCCACAGGTTCTTAATTTGGTCCACATATTAGAAGCTTTGTGAAAGCACTGTTTTCCTCTCCTTTCCTCCACCAAGGCTGTGATCTTGATTTCACATCTGAGGCAACTCTGTGTGAATCAGCATCAGTAGGTAAACATAAATTTCGAAGCTAATTTTGATTTGAAAAGTGTTAAAGTCGTCTTTTTTTCCGGGAGGTGTGCTTTAGGTGACTAGCTACAGTGCTGCAGAATAAAATGAGCAGTATTTAATGTTATGTATGCCTAATGGCTTTTCCCAACACCTGTGTCTCTCTCTGCTCCTGTGCTCGTGCAGCCTTTCGTGCTAATGCTGCATCTTAATATTTAATGTGCTAAAAAAGTTAAAGAAGTGATTAATGTTGATTAAAATATTCCAAATTGTGTAGATATACAAGTAGTAAAGCAAATGTTAGCTCTTACTGATAGCCCTCAGCCAAGTTACATTTTGGTAACTAGAGGAAAAGGGTAATGTTTTGGCTATATCAGCTATATTGCAGCTGTATAACTCCAAGTAGACACAGAGTTTATTAAAAAAATAAGCAGAACCATTTTTGCCATAAACCATATACATATTTTTAATGTGCAGAATTATTTTTTGATAGAATTTTTAAGATGTGTGTAATATCATATCATCCTATGAAAGAAATACATTTTTTCTACCTGTAATATTACTAAATTGGTAATTTGTATAAAAGGATTTAAATATATCTTTTGTCATATACCACCACACATCATTTACACACACATAATAATATGTAAATTTAATCATTTGGTACCTAAGAATAGAATAAGCTCTAGACCATTCTCAGTTAGATGTACTCACCTAGCTTACTGCTTCAAGTTGATTAAAAAGTTGGTGCTATTGCTACCTAGTTAAGAGACTGAGAGACATATTAGCTTTTCATTTACTGACAATTCTATTTATTAGCCTCAAACTGTCTCTATGACCTTGTAACTGACCTTGTAACTATTATGGTTACTATTACAAAGAAGAGGAATCAGGTTCTTGGTTTAAAAGAAAATAAATCAATTCTGGTTAATTCAAACAGAAATGAGTTTTACTATAAGGATGTAGAACTACTCAAAGTTTTCAGGAAAATTGGAGGTCAGGCTTCCCAAACAGGCAGAAACCAAGCAAAGATAGGCAGAAAAGCATCAGAGCCTCAAGTGAAGTCACTCTGCAGAACCAGTCTGGTCAAAGCAGCCATTAGTCTCACTGACCACAGCATTATGAGACACCACTGCCACTGCACATTACTGCAGAAATCACTAGATGCCATTGCATTCACTGTTGTGCACTACAACCTGGACTAAATTTGAAATTGTCCCTCTGGCTTCATATTCATAACCCAAATCAATGTCCCTTGCAGCATTCAACCTGCTGAGCCAATATCACCTGCCCATACACCTGAAATGTCATGGGCTGGGGGAAGAAAAGTTTGTCCTCCTTTGGCTTCTGTACTGGAAGCTGGGGTTCTGGATTCCAACAAGATTCTAGGAGTGGAATATTTCTTAAAATACAAAAGGAGTTTGGAAGATTGACACTATAAAAAAAAGCTTATTTCTACCACTTCCCCAGCACTACATATGTGAGTAGAGTAATAATTCTATTCATTAATAGAGGCTGGGGAGGGGGTATACATTCTATTGAAATGAATTTGTAGAATCAACTTCAAATATGAACTACACACAAAATTATCATTAGTTAATTTGGAATAATGGACTCTGGGATCAGGTATAATTTCTGTTTTGTCATTTTGATAACCGTGACCAACACAGGTCATGAAAACATATACTAAGAGCCTTACACATAAGCAATGAATTATGGTTGCCAAAATACTTTGACTTGATTGGTAAAAATCTTGATGACTACAAATTTGACATTATTTCTAATGAATAGTGATAGATTTACAACATGTCAATATTTATGTGATGTATGTAAAGAAGTAGTTAGAGTGAATTTTATAATTTCAAATAGTTATACTAGAAAATAAGAAAGATTTAAAATCATAAATTTGTTTCCATTTCAGGAATCCCATAAAAGAGCTAATTAATAGAACAACATATCTACAACCATACAATCTTTGATAAACCTGACAAAAACAAACAACAGGGAAAGGATTCCCTGTTTAATAAATGGTGTTGGGAAAACTGGCCAGCCATGTGCAGAAAGCAGAAACTGGACCCCTTCCTGATACCTTACACTCAAATTAACTCCAGTTGGATTAAAGACTTAAACATAAGACCTAAAGCCAGAAAAACCCTAGAAGAAAATCTAGGCAAAACCATTCAGGACATAGGAGAAGGCAAGAACTTCATGACCAAAACACCAAAACCATTGGCAACAGAAGCCAAAGTAGACAAATGGGACCTAATCAAACTCCACAGCTTCTGCACAGCAAAAGAAACAGTCATTAGAGTGAATCGGTAACCAACAGAATGGGAAAAAATTTTTGCAGTTTACCCATCTGACAAAGGGCTGATATCCAGAATTTACAAAGAACTCAAACAGATTTACAAGAAAAAAACAAACAAGCCCATTCAAAAGTGGGCAAAGGATATGAACAGACACTTTACAAAAGAAGACATACATGAGGCCAACAAACATATGGAAAAATGCTCATCATCACTGGTCATCAGAGAAATGCATATCAAAACTGCATTGAGATACCATCTCACGCCAGTTAGAATGGCGATCATTAAAAAATCTGGAGACAACAGATGCTGGAGAGGATGTGGAGAAATAGGAACAATTTTACACTGCTGGTGGAAGTGTAAATTAGTTCAACCATTATGGAAGACAGTGTGGTGATTCCTCAAGGCCTTAGAAATTGAAATTCCATTTGACCCAGCAATCCCATTACTGGGTATATATCCAAAGGACTATAAATCATTCTACTTTAAGGACACATGCACACGAATGTTCACTGCAGCACTGTTTACAATAGCAAAGACCTGGAACCAACCCAAATGCCCATCGATGATAGACTGGACTGGAAAAATGTGGCACATATACACCATGGAATATTATGCAGCAATCAAAAACAATGAGTTCGTGTCCTTTGTAGGGACATGGATGAATCTGGGGAACATCATTCTCAGCAAACTGACACAAGAACAGAAAATGAAATACCGCATGTTCTCACTCATAGGTGGGTGATGAACAATGAGAACACATGGACACAGGGAGGGAGCACTACACACTGGGGTCTATTGGGGGGAATAGGGGCGGGACAGCGGGGCGGGGGAGCTGGGGAGGGATAGCCTGGGGAGAAATACCAGATGTGGGTGAAGGGGAGGAAGACAGCAAATCACACTGCCACGTGTGTACCTATGCAACTGTCTTGCATGTTCTTCACATGTACCCCAAAACCTAAAATGCAATTTAAAAAAAAGAAAGTTTTAAAAGTTAAGAGGAGAGGACTATAAAATAGTAAGCAAACAACATGCATAATTTAAAAGCCAAAATTGGTTTGTAGAAAATATTCATTAATGTAATTCATCATTTTTTTTTTTTGAGATGGAGTTTTGCTTTTGTTACCCAGGCTGGAGTGCAATGGCGCAATCTCGGCTCACTGCAATCTCCGCCTGGGTTCAGGCAATTCTCCTGCCTCAGCCTCCTGAGCAGCTGGGATTACAGGCACGCACCACCATCCCCAGCTAATTTATTGTATTTTTAGTAGAGACGGGGTTTCACCATGTTGACCAGGATCGTCTCGATCTCTTGACCTCGTGATCCACCCGCCTTGGCCTCCCAAAGTGCTGGGATTACAGGCTTGAG